TGATAGTCAATGACTACCTCCAGGAGGTTGAGTGTTGTTTCCCGTACGCGGGAGGGGAATTGAGACATCACGTCTCGTTCCTAGTGAGTGACGAGCTCCCAATGTATATGTTACTAGGAATGTACTACCTCTCTGTGGCTCAGCCCCAGTTTGACTGGGACCAAAAAGTGGTCAAACACACTTTGCCAGGTGGAGGGACCGCCAGATTGCACAAGTTCAAAGCAAGTAGTCTGATCGAGTCCCATGGACGCATGTGTGCGGCCGCGTTCTATAACTATTATAAGCAAAATCAGGAGGAGGGTATGTACCTAGTTTATGTCTCTGCTGCAGGCGATCCGGGCAAAATGTCGCCGGAGATAGAGGGAGTAGTTGCCAAGTACCCTGATCTATTTGAAGAGCCGACAGGGGTTGTAGAGAGGGAGGTCGTCCACGCGATAGAGATTATCCGAGGGTCTAGCATCCCAAAGGGTAGGATCTATCGGATGTCTCCAGGCGAGCTCGATGAGCTTCGCCGACAACTCAAGGAACTCGTAGAGAAGGGTTGGATCCGGCCGAGTGTCTCTCCTTATGGGTCTCCAGTTCTATTCATACCTAAGAAGAAGGAGGGAACACTTAGGATGTGCATTGACTATAGGGGCCTCAATGCCATCACTGTAAAGAACAGAGAGCCCCTACCGTGCATCGATGATCTGCTAGATAGAGTGCAAGGGTGTCGGTACTTCAGTAAGATAAATCTGAAGTCCGGGTACCATCAAATTGCAATCCGGCCCGAGGATCAACACAAAACCGCCTTTCAGACCAGGTACGGTCTGTACGAGTTTCTGATGATGCCTTTTGGCCTTTGCAATGCTCCTGGCACCTTTCAGCACGCTATGAATCGGATATTCCATGACTACTTGGATAAGTTTGTCATCGTGTACCTCGATGACATACTTATTTTTAGTAAGACTGTTGAGGAGCATGTTGCACATTTGGACAACGTCCTCAGTCTCCTGCGACAACACAAGTTCAAGATCAACGGTGAGAAGTGCGAGTTTGGCCGCACCCGTGTCTTGTACTTGGGTCATGAGATCTCCGTGGACGGGTTGAAGCCCGATGACGCGAAGGTGGCCAGCATTCGTGATTGGCCACGTCCTCAATCTATGACTGAGATGAGATCTTTCTTAGGAATGACAGGCTACTATAGGACCTCCGTTAAGAATTATAGTATAGTGGCCGCTCCTTTGACTGATCTGACACGCCTTGACACCCCATGGGAGTGGACAGACGAGTGTGAGGCTGCTTTCAGACATCTGAAGCATGTGTTGACGCACTATGAGGTCTTGAAACTTCCTGATCCTGATAAGCCGTTTATAGTCACCACGGATGTCAGCCAATATGGCATTGGCGCCGTCCATGAGAAGGAACTCTATGCGGTTTACAAGGCTCTGACCCATTGGAGACACTATCTCCTTGGGAGGTTCTTCATCCTCAGGACTGATCATCAGACCCTGAGATGGATGAGAACTCAGTCAGTACTCTCTGACACTCTCAAGCGTTGGATCGAAGTCATTGAGCAGTATGACTTTGACCCTCAATATCTGAAAGGGGAGTACAACAAGGTTGCTGACGCCTTGTCGTGTAGCCTGATTTCTCAGGTGCGCTGATTACTGAGTTCGATCTGACGGACAATGTTACTCAGTCCTTGGTGGAAACCTATCGCGAGGACCAGTTCATGTCTAAGATCATACACAGACTTCAGGCGAAGGACAAGAAGACCTCTGCCGAGTTTGAGTTGGTCAATGGCTTGCTGTTCCTTGAGAAGGCAGGGAATAAACGATTGTGTGTCCCTAATAGCGAGTCTTTGCGTAGTTTATTTTTAGGTGAGTGTCATGATGCCACCGGCCATTTTGGGTACAAGAAGACCGCAGCTAATCCGCTGCAGCGGTTTTGGTGGCCCACGATGATGCGAGATGCCCAACTGTACGTGGAGACTTGTCAAGTCTGTCAGAGGGACAAGCCACGTACGCAGGCTCCTCTTGGGCTTTTGAAGCCCCTTCCGATTCCAAAACGGCCTGGTGAGAGTCTGTCCATGGACTTCATGGATACTCTGGTCACCAGCAAGAGTGGGATGCAACACATCTTCGTCATCGTGGATAGATTCAGTAAGTACGCTAGGTTAGTAGCAATGCCGAAAACAGCAAAGACGGAGTATGTGATCCGAATGTTCAAAGAGAACTGGGTTAGAGACTTTGGGTTACTGAAGTCTATTATCAGTGACAGGGTTGTCCGGTTTACAAGTGAATTGTGGAAGGCCACTGCTGCAGACCAGGGAACCCATATGCAAATGACTTTTGGGAACCACCCAGAGACCAACGGCCAGGCATAGCAATTGAATCGCGTTGTACAACACCTGTTGAGGCACTACATCAAGCCCAACCAGGTAGACTGGGATGAGAAGCTTGCTCTCATCCCTAGCCTGTACAACAATGCTGTACACAGCGCCACTGGGGTGAGCCCGAACAGTTTACTATTGACTTTCAAGCCTAGACTACCCCTAGACTTTCTCCTTCCTGAGAATCAATCAACTGCTGCACCGGGTACTTTAGAGTTTGCCTACAGATATGAACAGAAAATGCAGCAGGCGGTAGAGCAGATGCAGAAGGCACAGGCAGCAATGATAGAGTCCAAGAACAGACACCGCCGACCTTCTACGTTTTAGGTTGGGGACAGAGTTTGGGTAAAGTCCTCAGAACTGGGACAATACGGGATTTCCCGTAAACTCATGCCACAGTACTTTGGACCATGGGAAGTCTTAGATATTGTCGGGACTGATCCAGATGGGCCATCTTATGTAATCCGAATCCCAGGTCGTCTTCGTACTTACCCCGTCTTTCATGCCTCCAAACTTGCACCTTTCAAAGAAACTGATCAGTTTCCATCTCGCCGCTCAATGCTGCCCCCAACCATGGACGGAGAGGTGGACATCGATGACATCGTGGACCACAGAGAGCTGCCGGTATCAAGACCAACAGGCAAGGGACGTCCTGCGAAAGCGAAGTTGCAGTATCGCGTTCGGTTCCGCCATCACACTGATCCGAAGGAGGACCGCTGGTTCACCAGGGAGGAACTCATGCAGACCGCTCCGCAAGTTGTAGCCCACTACGAGAGATCTCTGCAGAACGGAAAGCGCCCTATGGTTGAAGATTGAGCTTCTCACAGGACTGTTGAAGCTAAGGAGAAGGGAATGCGAGGCCACTGCCTCTATGAGCCCATTCCGCCCCCATTCTGGAGCCAGTTGGCCGCCCTAAGTGAAGGCAGGCTCGACGAGGCCCTCAAGGCCTTATTTCGACCACCGCGCAACTAAGGAAATTCAGGCAGTTGCGCAGCGCCAGTTGGTTGAGAGAACCCAACCCTGGGCCGCCTGTGTGAATGTATGGAAAGCAGGCCCTGGGCTGGATACGGGTACTGGGCCAAACACACGCGAAAGGCAGTTGGGTGCATGCAACCACCTCAGGCCCCAGGCCTGTTCTCGATCGTGCTGGGCCTCAGGCTACCGGGGCCTACTGGAAGCTTCCTGGGACTGGACGCAGGCAGGCCACTTCTGAGGCCTACTGGAAGCTTCCTGGGACTGGACGCAGGCAGGCCACTTCGATATAGCAAAGGGCCTGCCTCCACATTCCTCATTCGGGTGCTGGCTGCATGCTGTGCAAGCGCTGCCGCGCTAATTGCTGGCTGGTGCCTACGCGCTCACGGGCGAGCAGGGAAGGAGCAGGCAGCCATAGCCGAGCTGCGCTGCTGTAAGCTGGGTGTGGCGCAGGGTGGTCCTTGGGTGCAAGTGGCATCTGTGTGTTGAGGAACGAGGTTGTGAGTAAGGCGAGAGACATACCTGGTGCTGGAAGCGTGTGACATTGGTCGCTGTATGCTCGTACTTCGGGAGAGCTGTTGTCGTCAACTTCGGCATTGTAGTATAGGCTAGATAGGATCTGCCACATGTAGTCTGGGCGCCGAGCGCCAGATAGGATATCAACTCTGGTTCTTCGTTGATGATGATGATGGGACTTTTTCAGCATTGTCAATTATGAACTCTTGGTGTGTTCTTATTTGGTGAATCTCGTGATGCAATTCTGCTGTTGGTTCGAGGTCATGACTATCTGGACTCATATGTATGATGCTGTTTGATTGCTGAAGTTCGCTATTGCTCATCTTCCTTGCACCACAGGAAAAAGGATGGAAAAACCGTCCGGCCAAAAAAAACGGGCAAAGAATTTTGGAAAGCTGGAAAGCAGTTCTGCGGGGACCCCACCGCGGAGGACCAAATGCGCCGTGGAAACCCTTTGGGAATCAGTTGAGCCAATCGTTGCCTTTCTCCGTCGGCACTCATTTTTTTTTTCTTGTTTTCTTCGTTTTTTCCTTTATTTTTTGGTGGCACTCTTGGTCGCTATTGGCTGCTGCCTCCCGTGAGACTTTTCCAAGACCTTTCCAGGACAGACACGCCCTCCCGCCTACCCTCTAGAGTTGGCACACAGCGAGGAATCCTCCTGTGAGACCTTTCCAGGCTGCGGACTATGTGAAAACAGAAAAGTACGTTTTTCCAAGCCGCAATCTTCGGTCTGTGGGGTCCGGGAAAACGGTTTGCGGGAGAAATTTCACCTTTCTGTGGACATCTGCCGCAGGCTGTGGGGTCCCAGAAACAGTTTTGCGGCAAAGTTTTCCCTTTCCGCGGTCCTGTGGGGTTCAACTCGGAATGTGTTTCTGTGTTAGGCTTTTATAGTGTTTTTGTGTTTTTTTTTCCGTTTTCTTTGGCCTGTTTTTTTTTTTTTTTTTTTTTTTTTTTTTTTCGTTTGTTTGTTTGTTTGTTTGGACTATGGGCCCACATTTTTGAATTTTCGTCGAATTTTGCACCGAAACTATCGGTGAAAACGGCGATCCGCTCAAAGGCAATGCAATCCCATCCAATCCACTCTGCTCCAGTGAGTGCAATCCGATCCAATCCAATCAAACTCACTCTCAGTACTGACCTGATCCCAAGTAACCACGGTGACTTTCTCCAATATGCACATACTGCAGCTTATCACCACATAATTCAATGGCACCAGAGAGGCTGTTCTCCTCGATATTCATGTGGTAAGTGTCAAGATGAACAAACACATTTGGTTCACCCACCTCCTCCACCAGCTCCACCCCCTGCACACACAAAAAGACGCATATAGACATTTTCAGTTCGGCAATCGTATGCAAGGGGAGCAGGAGGAGGTGCAGGAGGATGAGCTCAAGCAGCAGCAACAGCAGAACATGATAAATCCCACTCCTGACAAATCCTCCTGCGTCACCTCGTCTGCTGCATTCTTGTTAGGAATTCGCCAAACTTCAACTTATTTCCATGCGCAGCACTCAAACAACTGAAGTGAAGTGAAGGACCAATCTTGAAGATGGCAATTGGAGAAACGCTTTACACCACAAAAGCTCATATTGCACGATCACACCAGCACACTTGATAAAAAAATTAAAAGGCGACGTCCACTTGAGAGCCAGGCTGCATTGAGCAGTCTGCAACAAAATGCACTCAAAACTGTGCAGTATAGAGCCAGAAAACACTTGCTATGGCTGCGCCCAAACCCCCTCCTTCAGCTGCCAAGATTGGCGCTGCTACTCCTTCTCTTCACTCCACCAAAATCACGAGCTGACAATGAATGAGCTGTAGTCCTAGCTCGTCACTTTTTTTGTTGTGCCAATTTTGCCTGGGCCCGCAGGGTCCTACCAGGCTCTGGCCAAGAGAATTTTAGAACTCTACGTCCTATAGGGTTCTATGTGTCCAAGATCAGCTAACAGTATGCTTACTTGGAGGTCCCAGGTTCGAATCTGACTGGTAGCGAACTTGAAAAACAAAAAACAAACACAACTTTTTTTCGCTTTGCATTTGGGCCAGGTCTCGGGTTCGAATCCCCCTCAGCCCAACACTTCTTCCTCCTCCACGCCATCAGGCTGAGGAGGAGGAGGAGGACGACGAGAAGGAGGAAGCAGAAGCAGAAGAAGAAGGAAAAAGAAGAAGAAGAAGCACCAAGCATTCATCACCAACTGTGTTTCTCAATTTTGCCCTTGTTACTTCGAAATTTGAAAATTCAAAGTTACTGGTTGGTTCTTGTTGTTTTCACAATTGGCCTCAGGCCAGGCTCAGGGGATATTTCTGCAATTTTCTGCTACCGAACATGTGGGTAAATACTAAATACTAAATACTAAATATAGTTTGCCTAAGGATTTGGCTGTCACCCAGTAGGCATATAAACAATGCAGCGTACCAGACCTTTCCAGGACTTCCGTCTCCCTCCAGGAAAGTAGAAAGATACAGTGGTACCCGCCCATGGAAAGTTATATATGTGCCCAGTTCCTGAACGAGGCCGGGCCCAGAGGCCGGCTGACTGGCTGGCCATCAATATACAAGAGCAGCCAATCCAAAAGTCACACTTGGGCTCACTTGACCGCAGTGAGAGACTCGTGCAATCGCGCTGGCTTGAAGCCATGGGTACTGGGCTATGGTAGTGGCCCTAGTGGGAGTAGCGCTAGCCCATCAGGGGCAGAGGAAGTCACGAGGCAGCTGAAACTTGGCGGCTAGACAACATGGTGGAGGCTTCTGAGACAGGAAAGAGGGACTCTGATGCCGTTCTTCGAGGCGGTTTATGAGTTCTTGTTTCTTCGTGTGAAAGTGAAACCTGTACACTTCAAACTGTGATAATCTAATGACCTGCAAAATTGCAGACTGTGAGACCACCTGTTTCCTGAATATTGCTGCATGTTGGACTGATTTGCTGAGATTTCCATGTTCTGCTGTGATTTGCTGTGTTTTCTGAGTGACTGCGTGGCTCACCATGAACGTGTATGTGCCTTGTGCTTGCCTGAGTCCAAGTCTGTGTCCTTGTGCTAACTCTGTTTCCGTGCCGTGTTTCTGCACCACGATCTGGGGTAGAATGGTAATGAGAATAGACAGAGCCAGACCGGAAATTTGGCAACAGGAGAACTAACCAGAAGCTCTAGACTGTCAAGGGTAGTAGTAGAATTTGATAGGGACCCGGCAGGCCTTTTTCTGCAACTCGAACAGTTCCAAGTAGGCCCAGTAGTCTCAGGGGGAAAATCCAGCAACTTCCGAAACGTTCCAGGGCCTGTGCATAGATTGGTACTAGGGTAGATTAAGGCCTTGGGGGGTAGGAAATGAATATAAAACAATGTTGTCGAGGATTACGTCTCACAGTACAACAACCATGCAACAGCATGAACCCCGTCCATGCACCAGACCTTCGACCTCGTACTGCTCAGTCTGTACGGGAGCGAATGCTCCTCCTTCTTACATACCCACTATTCATGCCCGTCGTCCCAGTTTGGGAAGTCCAAGTCCTGGTACGACTCCGAGGGACCGCTACTCGGTTCTTGGGGGGTAGTTGCAGGCTGCAATAATGTTCCCGCCAAAAGGTAGGAACTTGCAGTAGATCCAGGGCACCAAGGGAGGCCGAGCTACAGTGAAATTCGGCCAAGAATCACAGGTAGAAAAAGAGTATATCATTCGGTGCCGAGAGGAGTAGAGCCCTCTTTGGTTCATTGTTCGGGTGGCCAAGCCTTGAGGCTGCTTGGGCACTCACCATCCTGGTGAGGCGCTGGATGGAGGAAGAAAGCAGAGCTGGCTCCCACCTTGGCTATCGTGGAAGAAGCCAAGGTGAGGGAGGAAGAAGACATGGCTATGGAAGACCAGTGAGGAGGAAGAACAAGGAAGGAGGAAGGAGAAAGAAGGAGAAAAAAGAAGGAGGAGAAGGAGGACGGAGGACGGAGGACGGAGGAAGCTTACCTTCACTACAGTGGACGGCATCTTCATCTCCTTGGTTGGAGCTGGAACTGGAAGGCCCCTGGATGGGGATACGAAGTCAAGAGGTTCCAGTGAGTAATATAGGCTTAGCGGGGAAGTGGCAGGGTCAAAAGAGCTTTGCGTTGTCCTTTGGATATCCGGGCTAGGCCTGGATGCTGCCACCATAGCCGGATGCTCAACCCGGTAGTGATAGGAAGTGTAGCCAAAGGCGATTTCTTGTGATGCCGTCAATAAGCAGGGGATTCGGACATTGATTCTGGTTCTTTCATTCTTTTTTCTCTCTCCCTTGCTGGAAACCAGGTCCAGCACCCCTTAGATCAGGTGTACACACAGGACGCTTCTCCCCATTATGCTCCAGAGATCCTGAGACAGCTGCATTGATTACTTCTAACTGGAAGGATTTACCACTGCTCCACCCGTGCTTTCCGGAGAATAACAACTTCTCACAGCATTGATTGCTTCCCCTAGGAAGGATTAACCGTCAGAACAAAATTGGAATGTTACACTTTCTAAGTTCCTACTCTATTCCCTTAATTTGCCCCATACCTCCACTTTTGTCTGCACTGCTCCTCTCAGTCCCCTGAAGTGATCTGCTTCCCTGCCAGCCTTTTGCTTGTCCATCCTACTATCTATTAGAAACTGCCTCCAGCTGACCAGTGTGAGCCTTGCATGGTGGGACCATCTATGCCACTATTGTGTGCTGCTCGCTATAACTTGTTAAAACTGGGATACCCCAGGATTACCTCTTATAGTTGAAAGCCAGTTCCAGCGTCATTTCATGGACTGTTAGAATGACAGAATTCTAATTCCACCTGCTTGCAAGGATAGGCTGCTATCTTTTCCGTGATTACTCCGTGTCCAGTCTGATAGTAGGCATTCATGTCTGTAGGGACCTCCTCCCTGCAATCGTCTGTCCGCCCCTATATCACTCTTAAGAACACCGCCCCTAAACAAGCGATAGGTCTCCTGATGTCCATTTATCGAGACCTGAATGTTTGAAGGGAGGTCGGCTAAGGACTGCTCTTCTTATAAAGAGGGGGTGGGGCTTAGGGGGAGATTGCTTATCGGCCAGTCCTGGCTTTGGATTACCCTCCAAAGTTTAAACACCAGTGGCGTCCCCTTTATCATCGCTATCTTCCCATTCGCCAAGAAGGCTTCCTCAAACCTCGCTTTATGTCCCACCGCCTTATTCTCCTCTTTACACATTTTACCCTTGCTCTTCTCCACAGTACTCTGTTTCCCCTAGGGGCTGGAAGAGACACCAAGTTTTCCGGCATGCATTGCGGTCTTTCCTATTGTCCCTTGGCAACGCTCTCTCCAGCTCCCCCATAGCAAAGCTCTCCCCGGTGTCGTAAAAAGGTTCGTTTCCATTTGAGACTAGTCTGTTCCAGTCCCAGCAAAAGGAGGAAGGGAATTTCGGATGTTGGAGGAGATGAATGGGGAGAGAGATGGTGGCATGTTCACATTGGTTCCATCTTGTGTTCTTATTATTATTATTATTATTATTATTATTATTATTATTTGTCTTCTTCTTCTTCTTCTGCTTCTTCTTCTTCTTCTTCTTCTTCTTCCTTTGTCTATTTCTCTTTCCAATCTCTGTCATTTCAGGAGCAATTGAATGGCATAGTCTCTTTTTGACTTCTGCACTGTAAGATTTCCAGGATCATAACATATAATAATTTTGTGGAAGGCGTCAAGGGAGAAGGAGAGGGGCGGAGTTGGCTGTACCCTCTATTTCTATTCTACTTAGCGTGTGCCACGATTTGATTTGATTGGCTGCAGTTGGCAGTTTGAGTTGTTTGGAAAGGTACATGTATGGGTGTGTGCCTTGCTGGATGACTACAAGGTACATTATTCATAACCTGGCATGGACCACACAGCACGATATTGCCTTGTCAACGCAGCAGAAATTGGCATAGACCTAGCCTGGAAAGGGGCTCATGCTACCAACGTCAGCACACCCAGTCGATTTCTTATTGGCATAGGAAGGATATAATGGTATTATAACCTTCGTAAGTGTGTATAACAAATACATACTTAAAGTCGTTCTACAAGCTCCTTGATAGGGGTTCAGCCGAGAATGAGTCTCAGGTGTATCCTTCAACGGTTGCTGGCATTCCTGCTGAAAGGTGTCCCTCGTGTCCACTTATGTGCCCATAAACGTATTCACAAGTGTGTTATAGACAATCAGCACAACCACCTCTTTTCCACACGGATGCATAAATCCAAAAAGGAAACAGCAGCCTTACCTTATCGTCCAACTATGTGATATTTTATTATTTTTATTATTTTTATTTTTTAAATATTTTTGGAAATTAAGCTATATTCTTATATCAATATACCTCCCACTACCTAACTAACTAGGAATGATACACACGGTGATCTACCCTCCAGCGGCTAGCTACACTAAGGGTTATGGGTTGAGCCTATCAGGGTTGAGCCTATCCCCTCAGGGTTGAACCTAACCCCTGGCAACGGGTGGCATTCCCCACCAACCAACCAGGAGGGACAAGCTGACAATCTCAGCCGGTGAACTCACAGCGCGCCTCAGGAGCTGTGGGGGCTCGATTGGGGACTGTGGAGAATCGAGCCCACAACCTCCTGAAGGCCGCTTCCGTGCACTGCCAACTGAGATTGGCCGTGCGGCCTACTATGTGATATCTTAAATGATTGTAAATGACTGTAATGTTTTGTTGAACAGCCATTTCATTATTGCGTTCAGAATGGACCACGTCTGTGTACTTCAGCATGGGTTGCATATGCACCTTCTATTTTGTCTGTCCTATTTGCGATCCTCATCTGCATACATTTGGTAGTTCTGCATGAGGAGGGGAAGGAGGGGGGAAGAGAAAGAGGGAGAAGGGAAGAAAAAGAGGTTTAAGAGGGAGAAGGGAAGAAAAAGAAGGGGAAGTAGGAACCTCATTAGGTCCTTAATACTCACTGGCATGACAGACTGCTAGAGACCAGTTAGAGGTGGGGTTGCAGAGAAAAAATGAGCTGAGCCGGCGTTCCCTACGGTGAACGGCCAACCCTGCAGACCAGACAGGACCAGTTCAGGTGTG